CCCGTCCTCCTCCTCATCCTCCCCCCCGGTTCCCTGCGGGAGCCCCGGCAGAGCCGCCCGCAGGCCACGGGAGCGTCACCCCCCGCCAGGGCGGGGTAAGTTACGGCCCAGAGCCCGGTGTCCCCTCAGCCCCGGGCCGTGGCCGCCTTAGGCGGGAGCTCCCCCCAGCACTACGGGCCTGGGCTGCCTGAGGGGTTAGAGCAGGGCAGGAGAGACCGCGGAGTACGAGAAACATGCGGGGGGAAAGTCTCTTCTTTTCGTTCTGGTTTAGCAGCACGGGCGTGCTCCGAGGTGGAAGGCAGGGGGTAAGGGCAGCGCAAAGTGCCGGAGGAAACCAAAAAGGCAGGTGGCACAGTGACCGAGCTAAGGTCACCTACTCCAAGGCGATGAGACAACTGCTCCTGACCTTCCAAACTAACTTAAGGAATATGTAATGCTGGTGGTGTCAAAAGATAGGCAAGTACCTGTCAAGCAGGAGGGGGCGTGGGGGGGGGGGTCTAGTCATCCATGTACTGTCAAAAGACATTTCTACATCATTAAGGTACCTGTAAAAACATGCACTTTAGGTAATGGCGAGTCCCAAAAGATTTGCAGATGAGCCATTTCATGTCATCCACTGACAAGGAGAGATGGCAGTATATTGATGTAAGGTTTTAGGATGAGAATAATAATTTTCTAAGGCAGTTAGGAGAGACTAGTAGCGGAGAAACTGAGTTCATGCAAAAATGAGAGTACACAGCAGATACGCACACGGTAAACTTCATTTGAACTTGTTTACAAAATTGACAAAAAAAATATCACCTTGTAAACTTATTCACATTTGTTGGAGCTCACAGAACTGGTTATACTAGCATGCTGAAATAAAGATTGTCAAGCCTCGTCTCACCCTGGATGACATCCACGTGAGTTGACCCTTACAGCAGAAACAGACTCGATCTGGAAGAAGATTTGAAGCTTGCATTGGGAGGGGATTTCTCCAGCGACGTTGTAGCCCTGGGGAAGGGGCTGGCTCCGACCCCCGACGCTCCCTGGCGCCGAGCGTCAGCGCAGCCGCTCCGCTACCGCCAGCTGGGTGGGAGCGGGAGGCAGGGACGGACTGAGGGCACCGGCTCCCTGAGGGCGGTCCGCAAGGGCCAGCGAGTGCATCGGAAATGTAAGCAGTGGAGAAAGAGATGGGGTTTATAAAAGTGTAATGTCATACTTCGTCATTTCCTGAAATTTGCTCTAAATTCAAAGGCCTCAAAAGAGCACGGACCCTGTTCCTAAATAAGACCATTCAGGGTAAGAGGGAGAAGGGGCGGGGAGTAAGATGCACAATATTTTTTACATAAACGAAACCCAAGCATTTTCCAAAATGTTAAGCTTTTTAGCCCTCTACCATCAAATCTGCCATTCTGAACTGCAAGACAGCAGCTTTCCCCAGCTCTAAAACACACTGCTTGACCTCGCAACTGCAGGAGGACAAAACAGAAGTAAACTGAAAATATACTTGGAAACATTTTTTTGGTAACCACTTTTTCTGGTTTCACCCTCAGACCTCAGATATCAGACGTGGAAGCAAACAGACATCATTTAAGATTTCTGAGACACCCACACATTTCAATACCAGTCAGATCACAACAGCAGTAGGTTTGAACAAGAATGACTTAAAAATAAACAAAAATACAACCTTATCAGTTGTATTCCAGGGAATGAACCAACTTAACGTATACGTGGCGAGGAACACCCTTGTAAAGTCATGTAAGAGCTTAATTCTGCTCTCAAAGGCAGGAGAACTCTTGCTTCTCCACAGAGGCGAGATCCAGCACAAAAGGGTTGACAGAGTTAACATCACTAAACCTAGAAATATTTTTGGTATAGTGTCCCCTCCCCTCTTCCCCTGGACAGAAGTCCAGCACTGGGGACTGCAGAAAACAACTAGTCCCAAATGTTAAAGCAATTACAGTTAATAGAAATTCTGAGCTTTCTAAACCAAACCAGGCTGCTTTAGAAAGCACTTTAACAATTAGGAATAATACATTACAAATTTACTGAGGAAAAAAAAAAAAGAAGATGAACTCTGATCTTTTTTAGACTTTGAGGTACATTAACAGCAATTGGGTTATCAGTCTCCAGACCCTGGATGCAACCAGAGCTCAAAAAAGAAAAAATTAAAAAAAAAAATCCAACCTGTGCGACTGAATACCACCAACGTACTTGGAAGACATTTTGCATATCCCTAACAGCCAGCTGCTGGCGACAGCGTCGGATGGGACTCAGCTTCACCGCACCGCTCCGACGGATTCTCGGTGTCGATGGTCACTTAGCTGGTCTGAATTGAGCAAACTTTAAAAAAAATTATTTAAGTATAAATAATTCACAAACTGTTTTGTGCAAATTTTTTTTATTTCCACATTTATATCACAATGTGTCCACTTAAAGGACCAAATAGCAAAGTTGCTCCCTTCTGCATCCCAAGAACACAGAAGTCTAGTTACTGTACATTCACTAAGGCTCTTTGTTTTTGCAAATTGCGTTTATGATGGATATCCATAAGGCAAACAATATCTAAAGGAATGGTAACAAGTATATTTCCAGCATACAAACAGGCTTCCTTTTTCCCTCTCACAGTACAGTTACAAACTTGTAGCACCCTCATTACATTTAGATTCTAGAAAAGGTGATTTTTCTTATTATTTTTTTTTTCTCTTTTTTTTTTTTTTCCTAGAAGTTTGCAGGAAGGGAAAAGGAGGAAAAATATTTGGCTGGTGGTGGTGGGATCAAAAATATCATTAAACATCTAGTTTTTGCAGCATTTCTCAGAGACTGGATTTAAACTGAAACCAGACTAAAATATGTGGATGCCTATGGAATGTTGAGCTGAAGCTGGTCTCCCAGCCTGCAGTGCAACACCTGCTGTTTAAAACCCAATCTCCGTACCACATGACTTTAAAAAAAAACGCAATCATGTTCAGAGATGTGATACAAATAAAACTACAGTTTTTGCACATTGTCTCTCCAATATCTCACTGCCAAATAAAAACCCAAATCAAGTCAAATAAATAGATGCATATTTTGTTAAGGTAACTTCCACAATTTTCTCTGTACCTGCCTGTAATAAGATTCCGGCATTCAGAAAGTGCTGGAAATCCTCTTCACTTCTTGGGGACTAACACTTTTTTATAGCTGGCTCGCTATAGAGTTTTGAACTCAATTTATCAACCTTCGTATGCCTTCCTTTGCAATTGTTAGTAAACTGGTAGCAGCATTTCACAAAAGGAGAATTTAAAGGAAAGAGCTGTAAAGAACCAGCTCCCTCACACCCTCTGCTCGTTGGGCCTGTTTGTCCAGGACAGGAGGCTTTCTCCATCTTTAAGTGGCATAGTGTCTGCCATTTTTGCTAACTGCAGATGTAAAAGCATTTTTAGCAAAACTGTACTCAGTCTAGGCAGACGTAAGGCAGGATGTTCAATCTACCATCATCCCCGTGTGGATCTAAAGATATGCACTGTGTCCAATCATACCAGTTACCCTGTGTGTCATAACAACCGTTCACGCCTGGCCAGTTATGTTCACGTATTCTGTCGAGGTCATCACTTGTGACCTCTCTTGTGACCCCAGGCAAGTCTGTAGGTTTGCTGTTAGGAGCTAGAACATGAGTCTTTCTAGCCTCTTTTCTAGTGCTTTCCTCCTGCTTTAAATATTCAGACATGAAGTAGTGAGCTCCTGGAGTCTGTACTCCTGATGAAGACAGCAAGCTACTCTGTCTGTTTAAATATGACTGAATGATTTCATTTCTGGATAATTCTTTCCAGTTCGTTTGTTCAAAAGGGCTTTGCAGGTTGGGTTTTTGCTCCTGCTTTTCCATTTCTGTCCTGTGCTGTTCAGTAAGTGCAGGGATTTCTACCTGCAAAGGATCTTTCTGTGTTAAAGGTTTTATCTGTCCTGTCATGGGATCAAAAGTGAGTTTTCTCTCTTTTAATCTCACAGGTTTCACACCCCCTTCTGTCAGGTGCCCATCCAAGTTGACCGTATAGTCTCTGGGCCGGTACCTTTTCTTCTTTTTACTATCGGAACCTGAAGCAGCATCATCACTGTCCATTTTTGAAGTGTCCTGTGAAAAGCCCATGTGTGGCGTGAGAGATTCCCCGGGGTGGGAGCTGGTTTTGCAGCTGGGAGATGTGTGCTGTTGAAGTGTCCCTGCTGTGTGCCTTTGCTGGCTTTCCGACGGTACCTGCTGCTCCTGCCAGTGCTGAGATACCTCAGCTACCGATGGCTGAGAGAACTCCAGTCTTTTTGCTGGCATTGGAGGTGTTGAGGGTTGCATCAAGGATGGTGGCGGTGATGGCACCTGTGCAGTATCCAAGAACTGAGACCTTTGAGATGGACTAGGCAGTGAATCCTTTGGTGAGTACGTAGTATGCTGCCGAGCAAAAGTATCATGCCTAACGTTTCTAGGGCTAAACGAGGAACAGCGAGGACTCTTAGGTTGGTGCGGTCCTATGGTTTCTTCCGATTTATCATGCTGCTGAAGCACTGCAGTCTTTAATAACGAGGAAGTGCTTGAAGGTTTTACAAGTCCTGGAGAACTGGTGTGAGGTTTTACAGCATTTACTGGGATCTTACTGTGTTTATCGTTTTCACTGAGTTCTGTCCTGCTGCTTTCAGGCCCTGCATGTAGATTTACGTCTACAGGACTAGGAAAATTTTCAGGACTACCTCCAATTCCATTTGTTGGAGGGGGTGAAGAGTTTTGTAATACTTCATGACTAGCTTTGGAGACTTTAGGGGGAGGAGGGCCCTGATGCCCATCCCTGTGTTCACCTTTCCTTTTCCGGTTTCCCAATTTCTCTGTTTTTGGGGAATTTAGTTTCTGTATATCATTCCTGCTTTTCAATTCACTGATTGGCTTTGATCCGGCCACGGCAGGAAGTTGCGTTTCTGGTTTGCAGTTGTGAGCACCACCATTTGCTGATCCGGGGGGATTCGGCAACCCTCTTGGCACTGGTTCATTCTGGGTTACAGGTTCTATCAACTTTTGCCAATTCCGCAACAATTTCTTGGCACGTTTGGCAAGTTCCTCATTGGACGTCTTCTTCCTCACCTCATTGATAAGCCTCCCAAGTCTCGTTTCCTATAAAGAAATAAAAATGGGTTTACAACAGGTATCGCTCCAAACAAAATTCCTAAAGTACCTTTCTGCTCTGTAATCCTTACCCTAAGAAATACCTAGTGAAAAACTGCTAAAGATTTAAGTGCTGAATTAATCTTTTTGGAAAGGATTAGTCCAGTTGGTCCAGCGCTCTGCCAGGCAACGTGAAACCTCCTGTAGATTTCAAGTCACACTGTCTTTATTCCCTGGCTAAAGAACCAGAGCTGTGAAAAACACCAGAAAGGAATTCTTTAATCAGCAAGAACCTTAAGAATAAAGGCACAACTTCAGATTCGAGGGGAAATGCAGCACCCAATGCAGAAAAGGTGCGTGTTTATTGCAATGAAAGTATAAGAGCTACAGAAAGAGGCAAGAAAAAAAAATTCCAGAATCTTTGCCAGTTACAGGAATACACTGACAAGTAAAATCTCCATTTCACAAACCTGATTGGCCAGGGTGCGACTTATATCCCACCTTCTTCCTCCATGTCTCCTCTCCCTTCACTCCCCAGTAGCTCGAAAACGTATGAAAGACCCGATTTAAACAAGCATTCCTAGGGTGGCCCAAAGTGATTTCGTAAGCGGAAGGAAGTGAAGTGTTTGATTGTTCCCAAAGCACATTTGAAAACAAAGAATTGTTCCACAAGTCAGATTACTTAAGAAAATCACTTCAAAGGAACACGTAGACCAGACTGTGAGAGAAATATGCAACATGTTGCGATACAGATGTTGAAATACAGATGGGCTTATAATTAAGCAATACTGAAAAGCAAGTAACACCAACAATTTCAATATAAAGGTTGACAAATTTTTTAGAGTTTAGCCATAAGAACGTCTTAGGGCTCTGTTTCTGAGCATGGCCAGTGGGACTGCAGCCATGCCACCTGATACTTCAGCTTTTAACACACCTAATCTCACCAACTAGATCAGGCACTGAAACCTGCTTAACTGAATTTATGATTAATTTTACAGACACAGAGTAACTAGATTCCTGTTTCAGATTCTTTGGTGCTTGGTCACCAAACACCTAAAAAGGTGACCAGTACTTCAGCAAGCAGAGTGATGTTGCTGAACGCAACAAAATTAATCAGTAGCAATGATTAATGTAATGCCCTGCACGAGCCGGAACTGTGCTGCACAGAATACTGATCTGAATCCAGAAAGAATCACTGTGTGTGCACGGAGATGTCAGAAGCAGCACGAGAGGGACAAAATAATATCTTAATTGTGAATCCTTTGCAATCAATGTATTGTTTCAAGAAAAGCTCTTATGGAAATTAGACAGACAAAGTCCTTTTATATACACAAAAATCAAGTCATGTTTAGAGGGTGACATACCTCAAGTGCCTCTTTGGTAATGGGATATTTCTCCAGGCTGGAGATCACTTCCAGCACTGCCACCATGTTACGGATCTGCAACAAGGAAGACAAAGTCACTTCATGTTTCATGTACAGGTCTTAGTCACCAAATGTAATTTAAGACCTTCCACTTTATAATTGCTGGAAGCATTAATCACAAAATTGCTATCACACTGTCTGGCTTTAGGGAGCTGATTGTTCAAAGAATAGGGACAAGGACACTTTACTGACCTAGTTGGAAACTGCAGGAGCTGTAACAAACACGCTCTTATGTAAAACTAAAGGAAACATTAGCAATAAACCCAGCACAACTTACTAGCAAAATTCTGAGACACCTAGCCAAGGTACTAGTTAGTTGTCCTACGGCCAATGGAAACAAAAGTGCCATGTGGACCAAGAAGAGCAACGAGTCAAATCAGAAATCTTGCATTTATTCCTTTAGGCACCGCTTTAGATTGATACAAGTCACCGTTCGACACTTTTGTTCAAAATCTCGATGCTTCCCGCAGCTGCACACCACAGCCCAAGCCCCGGGGAGGGCAGAGGCTGCACCCAGCGGGTGTCCTCAGGCCATCGGACAGACCCAGCCTGGGACGCAGCCACGGCTCCTCCACAGCCTCCTTAAAACCTCCACCAGTTACTCCAGAACCGTGTGACCCCATCCGTAAGACGGCGAGGTGTAACTGTGGGAATTCACATCACACAACAAAGCACGTATCAGATTTTCTGAGGGGCTTCGCTGCAATATTCCTGCACGCATGAGTAAGCTCCACACAGCAGCAGCTGCCACAATCTGTAGATGCTAAGCACAAGTGTGATTTTAATAATTTCTAGGAGAAACCTCACACTAGGGATCTGTATTTCGATCACCTGACATTAAAAGCACCAAAACCTGGAATTTCTAATTCACCTCTGTAGATAGATTTAAAAGATAAGCAAAGAAAAACTTGAATCAGTCTCATTTATTGTTTAAATTGCGTTTGCGACTCAACTGGACGTGAACTGCATCTGAGAAAAATCTCTCAGCAAGAACCTCTGCAGGGATCTCACATTATCCTAAAGTCTTACCAGGAGCATAATCAGGCAGCGCTGCGCTCCCAGCCACACATTCCGCCGCAAGATTCCTCATTTTAAAAAGACTGCAAGTTTGTAAGAATTAGCTTTTCCAAGTCAATTCTACCCGTCTATTAAAACACAACAGGAGAATCAGGAGCAGAAGTCTCCTCCTTTCAGAAAATCTTGTGCATAGACAATGTTTTTTCCAATCACAGCAGGATTGCTTAATGTTGGAGATACTTGGAGAAAGCTGTCAGCAATTAAGCACTCTGCTTCATTTTTAGATTTACTTTTATCAAAATTATTTTTAAAAAAATCTCTATAGGCTTTGAATGATGATAACTCTTAGAGGTTGTTAAACCAACTTCAGACCAAAGATGAATGGTTCTTTCTTCACAAAATCTGCAACACCTCTGCAGATACTTAAAGCAAGCTCTACCATCGGGTCAGGTCTGGTAAAACTCCACTTAAGGTTTTAAGTAACAGTAGAACATATTCTGACACATTTTAGTTGTTATTATTTGACTTCACTACACTGACTTTCTTCCATGTTTTGATCCTTGCACTGTCCTCAGTCCCTAGGAAGGATGATTTACACCACAGTTGAAGGAATACATAACACCAGGGTTTTTTCAGTTTTTAGAACCAGAGCACTTGGAATGGCTAATTCTCAATTCTGGGAGTTTCCAGACAAACATTTTTAGACTTGCAAAACATGATACTCTCCTTCCCAACACATATTTCAGACTATGAATTACCAGGGTGCAAAAAGGCTCTGTGTATTGCACACACCAATAATCGGTACAATTATTTTTGCAGTTACTGGTAATCCCCAAATATTAATTATCTAAATGACAAACTGATGGCAAAACAGGAGCATTAGTCTATCAAAAGGTCAAGATGAGGAAAGTGATACGCTCATGTATATACACACCTACAGAAAGATGAAACTGGTCAGGGAATTTCCAGTAATGGCGTTGCCTTTATTCAATATGCCCAGATACGCATCTCGGATGCCCCCGAAAGCTCCATCTCCTACCAGAGACCAGGTCTACACTAAGACTGTTACTTCGCTCCCTCCTCCGAGGGACACATGGTGCCAATTAAGACAGCGAAAGCAGCCCTACACCGCTGAGTCTCTGCTGATCACTCAGCTTCTGGTAAAACACAAACCACCCATTTCAGATTCTTCACACATTTGTAACCAATTGAGAACACGCTGTCACACTGAAGCCATGGCTGCAAGGAGCACGAAGGCTCACACGAGATCAACTGCAAGAACCTCCCCTCATCTCTTCCTCCTTTTTGACCTGCAGGGAAGCATGGTTCTTAAAAAAAAAAAAAAATTAAAAATAAAACGTTCAGGCAGGTTCAACAACTTCTCCACCCTTCCCTGGTAGTTTTGTGTAGTTTTCTTGGAATGCTTCACCCAAACTGCCATAAAGAGAAGCTTAGAATAAAAATTATATTCACCTATTTCAAAATAGAGACTATGAAATTTCTTTTAGAATAGTTAAACACTATGATGAAAACAAGCTGACTTCCCCAAAACACCTCAAGTATCATCTATTCAACGTGAAGACACCTATGTCAATAACACACCAGTATCTTCACCTTAAACTGTCTTAATAAAATTAATACATCGTCCCATAGCTGACACGAGACTGAAGTTACAAAACCCACCAGGACATCATCCTACTTTGAGCAGCACCAGAAATGATCATTTATTAATGGAAGCTGGTATTAAAAATGCTTATCGGCTGCACAGCAGATAGACAAAGTAATATAAAGCTGAGTGGGACAAGGGAGTTTGGCAACTTTGTTCTCTTCAGACACCGTTAAGAGTACAATTGCGCAAGTCATCATCTCAGGAACTTGCACATCATTTTAGTTTCTATTTGCCTTCGTCTACTTCCACTGCAACCTGTTACTACCACCCCAAAACGCAACCCCAGGGCCTCACATTAAGGAGCTCGCAGAAAACGGGCCAGAATAATTTATATGGCATTTCAAATTATCCCATGCTATTCCTGCGTTGGGAAGATTGACTGGCACACAGACTAATTCACTTGAAAGTTTACTGGAGAACATCTGCTTTGAGTCATGTACGATAATCCTTTCCAGCCAACCCTAACGACAGTCACAGAAAACAAATCTTATTTATTCCAGGCGAGTCTCCTTAAGTCACTCAGCCATACTCTGGTGGAGTTTACTACTGGTATCTGAGATCTCTTCCAAGTTAAGCACTAAAAGTTTTTACTGCAGCCTCAAACAAAAGCATGGGTTTCTGAACGCTCTGGAAAAGATCAAGTCGCTTAATTTCCGTTTTTTAACTGCCATCTTAATCCTATTTTAGCTTTTATAAATCAAGAACAATTCAGTAACTAACTTCAGGGTGTTACACAGCAGTTTAAAAGGATAAGAATTGTGTTTGGGCTCGGGAAGTTTAACGTACAGCTGTTCCCTGCTACCTCCAGTTCTACCATCTCCTTCCCCAGTAGATCTGAAAATAGCAGCAAGCTCAGGATCCGCACGTGAGCTGGTATCGCCACTTCCACGCGCTGGTGGTGCGGAAGGGCCAGGACTATCAACCTGCTGGGATGCATTTTATGCTGGACTAGCAGAGTCAAATGCTTGGCTTTGATTCTGTTCTTTTATCTACAGACCAGTCCAGACAGAAAACACAAAATGAGCACCGATGCGACACCTTTCTTCCTCAGGACTGCCTTGACGCACAGGACAACCTGCTCCTCGCTCCAGTGCCGCCTAAGAAACAAATGTTACAGAAACCTTCAACTGCAGTCATTTGAATAAAGCAATTTGTTGGGTTTGCTGTTTTAATGTTTCACAGGGATGTTTCTGAAGATCTCTGCATCCATGACAAACCAGATGGGAGTTAGCAGTGATGCTGCTGCCGAGACATTTAGTTTATACAGGCCTGGAGTAGGAGCAGCAGCTCTTTCCTTGTAACACAGAAACCTCAGCTAGGTGCACAATTACAACAAACCTCCCAGTAAAGCTGCTCATACAGATTCCTCCCTACTGGATTCTGGCTGGAAAAACTCTTCTTTTTATCCCTTGCACAAAGGTCACGTACCAGCACCACAAGGCATCTTTTGACACAATATCATCACCCATATGGGTCACATTAGTATCTTTAAAACTTTCTAAAGAGTATTTACACTTGGCCTCTAGTATGTCTAGAGTTCCTAATCACTGAAACTTTTCTAAAACTCCTGAAATCACAGGTAATAATAATAATAATAATAATCCGACTCCATTGTAGGCATTTTTGAAATAGACTATACAGATATATCAGAAGACACCAGCCCTGAGAGAATGTATTTGCCATCAGACTTCAGCTTACTTCCTCAGAATATGCTACAGATACTCAGTATTTTGCTAGTTTCAAAGAAATTACTTTTGTAACATTTTCCCACCTGTAGTACCAAAGCAATTTTACAAAAGCAGGCAGAGAAGTGGACCCACCGTGGAAGACTAAACAGATCTTTCTAACTTTCCTACAGACACAATCCAAATTTTTATTGCCAATCTGGTGTTTTCTGTCAGCAATTAATACAGGAAAGGAAGTATGGTCTATACAGAAGTTCACAGGAGCATTTGTACCATTTTTTATCTTCTTCCCCCTGCTCCGAGGGACAGCAGCATTTCACTGGGTAGTTATAAAAACTGTCATATATCTGTGGGCAATGTATATCCTTAAGGTAGTACAGGGTAACATGCAGGAAAATCGTGGGTTCAAGGTCAATCTTGCTGAAATTGCCAGGAAGGCAGAACTGATTCAGAAGGAGTTACAGCTAACAGCACCATGAGCAACGTCATCCACTTGCATTTATTTTCTCCAGCGCAGCGTAGTGATCACCTGCACCTCAGCACCAATTCTTACCCTGGACTGAGGTCTCTGATCAGTGTCAGGTCTTGCCCCCAGCACTGCATCTGTATCAAAGTTACTTCATTGCATAATAATCTGAAACATGGAATAATAAGAAGAGAGAAGTTGCTATTCATAGTAGGCTTTATTTAAATGTGGCAATGGAAATACAGAAGTTTAGTGTTTATTTAGCACTTCATATAGGACGCATTAGACACCAGACACCAACAATACGTATCATGAACTGTAAACTAGAATTTTTAAAAAGATACAGACCAAACACAAAGTTAGAATTCAGGTTAAAAACCTGCTGGTATTTAGTTCAGTTCCCTTGCAACTGATCTATTAACAGTTTCCCCTACCCGCAATGTGACATGATGTTGTCTAAAGATAAGGTACACGGGATACTATTCACAGAAATGACATACCAAAATGATGATCATGCACTACTTTGTTCATTATTATCGAAAATGTTTGAAAGTCAGTTTGCTAAGCAGTGTTCAAATATTCACCAGTACACAAAAGACATTCTTAGAGGTGGAGGCGAGTCTTCTAATAGCAAAGCAGATCTTTAAACATGAAGGAATCAATGATTTGGGTTGAAAGTCATCCACTGAGAGTATCTTCTATAACACAGAAATTAATTTGGAGTCTGTGCTTTGAAAACTGATCAGAAATTTGTGTTGCCAAACAACAAGAAATGCTCCTTAACTACCAAGAACAGTCCAAAAAGTGTCCAGGCACAGCAATTCCTTATCCTGACCTCTGGATTGAAAATTTCCAGGTCTGATTTAAAGAGTCAAAACAATTTGCATAGTTTTATTTGTATTTAGGCTTTATTTAATGGTAAAGTAACATCATTCGGATACCTTCCCATATATATTTTACACAGCCAAGACCATCAAACAAGAGTAAGGTCAGATTCCAACAAAATCTCTCACTGCAAAGAAGAAATCAGCAGACCTGAAATATTTCTCTTGAGCAGGACAACAGTTTAGCCCTGTTACCTTTCAGCAGTATGTACACACGTAAGTAAGGTGTAGAGAGACTAGAACAGCCAAGGGATTAAGAGGAGTTTGCCGGCAGAACACACAGTTTGCCCCAGCAGTTACAAACAGCCTCGAGACACAAATGCAGAGCAGTTGTAAGTGCCATCAACACTCCAGCTCTTCTCTGCACAGCCCACTCCAAAGGACACATCTAACCCTGGCAGAGGCCCCTGACGTAGCAGGAAAACTCTCCACGCTTTGGCAAGGCTGGGGAAACCATCCAACAACGGGAGTATCCATCAGTGGAGTCATTTAGAAGGTAAGATGCAAGGGGTAGTAAAATACAGATTACGGAGACAAGACGCACGCCCAGAACATAACCAGTTCACAGTGGCACATCCAGGAAAGGTTCTGCTCTACAGGAAGAGGTCTTTAGGGCAAATTTAAGGAAAACAGTCAACATTGTAACACTTTTCTCCATATTTATTAGCCAATAATTGAAAGACATTTTTGTTACTACAGAGAGAAATAATTGTCTGTCGACTTCAACATTCACTAAACATTTTGTATAGTATCATACAAATTGTACCTGTAGTGCCTACTCCTCAGATGGATATGAAACATAAAAGACTCACTACAACATGATGCCCCAACACTTCTTCCCCACCCCGCTCCAAACCAAAACAAACCATGAGACCACGAAGTTGAACGTTCAAAACCTTTTTGGGGAACAAATTTATTAACCTGATTTAAAAAGCCCAGCAGCTGAAGTGAGAGTTAGTTATACCAAATACTACTAAACTGGAAAGACATGTGTGGCACAAATTCAAGATAAAGGAACGGAGTGAGGAGCAGGTAGCAGGGACCACAAAGCCAGGCAGGCATTGTCACAGCAGGGCAGAGCAATCTCAATGGTATCTACCGCAGCATACGGCAAGCAAGATAATTTTAGTCTTGTTTTTCACTCAACACCAAACTGATAAGGAATGGTTTAGGAATCAAACTCAGCTGGAATTACATGTTCATCTCAAGGCACCACAGTTCAAGAAGAACATATACAAAGAGGAGTTCAGCGGAGAGCAGTGATAAGAGGTTTTGAAAACATGGTTAATAGGGAAAAAAAAAAAGGTTTAAGTACTCATTCGCACAATATTGGAAAAAAATAGGGAGGAGACACATGAAACGACATAAGCTCTCTATGCATCATTAGTCATAATAAAGAAAATGGCCATCAACTGTTTTCATGCTCACTGCCCTCATTTGCAACAAGACAAATACTGATTACATATTAGGAGTAACCAGAGAGCTACTAATACACTCAAATAAGCCCCCAAAGAGCTTCCATAGCCACTGCAGAGGTTTAAGAACAGATTAGATAAGTCTGGAAGGAGTTTTTTTTATATAGGTGATGCTACTTCAGTGAAGGTGATGGACCACGTAGCTTCATTAAGTCCCTGCCAGCCACCCCCCCCTGTGATTCACACCCGGAACCGATACCCAACAGCAGAAATACATTGAAACACCCATTTATCTAGTTCCAAACAGACTCAAAATAGTAATTCTAAATTGTCCTCTCAAATAAATTCATAATTATATGAAGCAGTTTTATAAAGGACTTACAACATGCAACACTTTAAGATTCACTGCCCCACCACACAGGGCAGGCTCAGGATCCCAAGTGCCTGCCCCCAGAAATGCCCACGGCTGTCCCGGCCTTCCCAGGCAGCTCATCACCACTCAGGACTTGTAGTCACTTCGTATCACCGTCAAGCACCTCACCCTCACCCCTCCACGTCCCAACCACTTCAGCACATTTCCCTAACAGCACTGTCCTGCCAAAACAAAGCATAATAAAACAAGAATAACCATGGAAATTATTAGGTTTGACTCAGCCCTACACATCCACAGCCTTCTGGTATAAATACTATGGATCACATGGCCAGCTACAAATGTGTTTAACATTTAGTGGAACAACATAGCATGTCTTACAGAACAAGACTTGTCAACTGTTGAGCTGCACGACCAAAGAATACAAAATAATGCAATATGTCACCCTCTGGGTGCAGCAATCACTACAGATTGTTTCAGCACAATAAATAACACCCATAGAACACATCACCGACACACAAGCCCTAAAACCCAATCACTAACTTGGCCCTAAGGGCATCTAACCACGATACCGTTTTGTTGTATACATGATAAGTTTCTCCTCCTCTTCCACCTGTACAGAATCTTCAACCAGATGAATCTTGGTATTTATTATTTGTTATAAACCATCAACTAAAGTCCAAATTTACTGCTTAAAAATTTAGAGCAATAAAATGAGGTCGCTGTATAATGAAAGTCACAGGAACAACTGCTCCGACTTCAACAAGAGAGACACGGCGTTTGTTGATTATTCAGGCAGAATACAGAATACACAGAAAATCCAGCCTTAAGATGCACCCCTTCTGATTTATGATGATCTTGGTGTTTTCTAGGGTAAGGAGATACCCACCCATTCACACAGAAGTCTGTACTTAGCCTGGGGTTACTGGGGGAACTGAAAAGCCAATGCTGAGAGTTAATGTACAAGAGGCAGGTGCCAGCAGAGGCAGATGCTCCCAGCTCAGCAGCTCTCCACTCCACCTGAACCCACCGTTAGTATCCACCTGTCCTACGATAAAAGCAAAATCAGACACCAAACCAGATTATGAGAATGACCCTTACAGGCATCGCCTGGACAGAATCGTTGTGCAATCACCTCCTTGATCTTCATGCACTCCAGAGAACTAGTGGAGATTGAAAATTATGCAACACATATTTAAAGACTCGATGAGAATTACTTCAAAGGGTCAAGAGCTCTAAAATTTTCTAAATATCATGTTACCCATCACATGGAATATCTACCCAGAGCTGTTGACACGGAACAGTTTGTATCTGAATGTAATAAAGAAAAGCCCTACTAATGTCACCACAATATAAACTTTACACTCTTTTCTTTATTTTTTAAGACACCTATCACCATATTGGTGTACTTTTAAACACAGCAGGACAACTTTTATCCAAATGTTGGGAAGATTCTCAGCTGATTCCTTAAAGGAGACTAAGGTAAGAGCCTCCTGAATACACTGCGTTGTGGAATTTGTAATTCATGACACTGAAGCACAATATGCTTGCATGACTGCTCATAAGAACGTAAGCATGGCATATTTGTTCACAAAACTTGAGAAAAATATAGTCTTACAAATTAGGACAGTTTTAAATAGCAAGTTTGGAGAGAAGTCACCAT